TTTTTTTTCCTCCTCTGGTTTTAATAAATGCCTTTAGGGCATTTCATTCTGTTAAATCAAGCAGCAGACAAAAATGTAATGCACTGCTAACCTCTAAAGTGTGTGAAAAACTTAGTTCATAAAATATGTATGAGGAACACAGTGTTGCAATGATAATGATACTTCCTTTCTGGGTTATTCTGCCAAAGGAGTTGATGCATCAGCGTCTTTAGTTCTTGATTTCTTTTGATGGGAGTTGCTCTTACTTCATATTGTATCTAGTTTTTCAATGAATTTTCTATTGGCACACATAGACATACAATAGTTTTTTGTTTTGTTTTTTGTTTTTTCGTGGTGGGGAGCAGTTGCCATGGCTTTAGGTTGGCTCGGGTTAGGAACTCATATGTAGCATTCTTCTCAAGAAAAGGAATATCTAAAAAAGGACTTAGTGTATATTGGAACATCACATTTGTGTGTTTGTGAGCAAAAATATGTCATTGTTGTGACATATTCCATCATGGTAAATGTACATTCATATGGGATAGTTTCTTCTATTTCTGTTAAGAGCTACCAGTACCTTTAAAAAAAAAGTTTATTCTTTTAAGAGATAGGGAGAGAGTAGGGGAGGGGCAGAGACAGAGGGAGACAGAATTCCAAGCAGGCTCTGCACATGCTGTCAGCCCAGAGACTTACATGGGGCTCAAACTCACAAACTATGAGATCATGACCTGAGCTGAAACCAAGAGTTCCATGCTTCACCGTCAAGCCATTGAGGGGCCCCAAGGGCCACCAGTGCCTTTTAAGTAAATGGGTACTATACATGTTCCACAATATATCTTCCCTTTCTTGGTGAAAAAGTATAAAACTATAGCTTCTGCTGCTGCTTCTTTACTACTCAGTCATTATATTATCTCCATAGGAGAGAGATACACTATTTGATGATGTTTAGAATTATAAATATGCCAATCCCATTTTATAAGCTTACTTGATAATGGGTGTCACTAATTTATAGTGTATAAAAAATAAGATAGGAACGTTGATTATCTTGATAAATTTTTGCTGCACTTATAGCAGGTATAATATAATTGCTTTCTAAAAAATAAGTAAGTGACAATTTAAATTTCCTCTGAAACTTCAAAGGAAAAATTAACATCTGGACCCCTCAAAAAAATAGTCCTGGCTATGTAATAAAGAATAAAACTTGCCCCAAGAAAGGTTTAGCGTTTGCCCTTAGCAAAAGAACTGATCACTGAGTCCTTAGAATGCTCTGCCTAATGAGAGTACTCTTGTTTACTTGGACTCATGGATCCACTCCAGATAGTGTAACAATATTAGTTATGGTGAGGGCTTTAGGACACATCATACCAGCTCTCTCCAGAGACTACAGGTCTGCCACATGTGCAATCAACCGTGTTCACCTGCTCGAGCCCTACTAAAATCTCTGCACACTTGAGCTCAGGTGAGCTTTCTGGGTTGGCCATTCTCCATGCATATTATCACACATCATTGCTGGGAGAAATTAGCATTTCCCCAACTCCAGTTGAAGAAGTCACCTGGAAGCTGTGTGTGTGTGTGTGTGTGTGTGTGTGTGTGTGTGTG